AATTAATCAAAGTCCATGCTCTGAGTGTTATTTTAATGCACCCAAGGAACAAAGAAACTTGATCAATGCTTTAAAATTTGTTAGAACTAGCGGGGCATGGTGGCTCACGCCCACCACTTGGGAGGCAAAGGCAAAAGGATCTGCGTGAGTTCGAGGCCAGCCTGGCCCACAAAGAACCAGAGATACGAAAAAAGACCCTGTCTCAAAAAAGAAACAAACAAACCAATGGTTAGACATATATAAGCATACTTCTAGTTTAAATTCCAGGATGTCGTAGACTACAAGCTGAGTTCCTAAGGATTAAGGAAAATCCTGATCACTAAAACAAAAGTAGAGACACAAAGTGGAAGGAAACTCCTTTCTGCCTTTCTTCAAAAGTCACCTGGGGAGAGGGTGGGGTTAAGAGATTAACAGAGTAAATCCTAAAACTAACAAACCAGGGCAGCTGCTCTGCAGTCCATCCCTGAGTGTGGCCAAGTTCAAAGCAGAAAGATGCAGAAGAAATGGCTGCTGTGGAGACCGAAACAACTCCGTTAACAGTCGAGGCGACCTGCCACTCGTTAACACGCTACTTGTTACCGAGGAATCCCGACCCGGCGGACTTCCTCCGGGCTCTCACCAAGCAGTCCGCAGCACAGGCTGAACCCCCATCCTCCGCCGCCCCGGCCCTGACCACTGCACTTCCTCCTTCCAGAGCAACCAGGCAAAGGTTTTAACTCACAGCCCCACCTGCAATTTCTGCAAGACGCGCTTCGCTTCTTCCTCTTCATCAGCCATCATTCCAGCCACTGCCGGATTCTCCTCCCCCAACTTTGTAACCACAGAGACTCAGCCGTTCTCACGGCGAAACCACAGCGACATCTAGAGCTCGGAGGCCCGCCTGCCCCTCAGAGACATGCTACAAACCAACTTCATGCAAAATTAGGTAGCTCGAAGATGCTAGAACCCCTTTTGGGTTTTGCTTTGCTTCGTTTTTTCGAAGCAGGATCTCACCACATAGATCGGACTGGCCTCACTGTGGTTATGTAGTCCAGGCTGGCGTGGACAGCCCGACTTTTTTGCCTCAGCTCCCAACTGGGATAACAAGCACATATTGAGTTTGTGATCACTTTCAGTTTCATAAACTTCCTTTCCAAATTCCAGAATCAAAATGTTCTTAGCTTAATTACATTCAAATTTTTGTTTCGTGTATTCTTGTCCTTGCTTATATCACTCTTAAAAACCAAGACCGGTTATCAAAGCCCATGTGGTAGGTGGTATTTGGAAGGGAAGGTACTAACCAGACTAACCAGTCTGAATATTTTCCAACTTTGAAGATGTCTGCACATGTAGCTTTTAGCATTTTTAATGCATTATCCTAATAAGTCTACTATGTTTGGGCTACTATGCCACCATACTGCACATTATTAATGTTCTCATATTCATTACTTTCAAAAGAAAACATAAACAATCTGAAGAGAGAAACAGGGGAGATTGAGAACTATGGGTAGCCTGAGAAAATTCTTTTTACTATATTTTCCACTTTTTACCTTAAACATGAATTGATTATTCAAAAATAAACATTTTAAATCTGCTTTTTTGAGACTGTGTTTCATGTATCTCAAGGTGGCCTGGAACTTTCTATGTAGCCAAAAATGACCTCGAATTCCCAGTCTTCCTGCCTCCACTTCCCAAGTGCTGGGACTATAGACGTGCATTATTACACCTGATGTTTATTTTAACTTTTTAGACAGGTTCTCCCTATGTAGGCTCAGCTGGTCTCAAACTCTGTATGTACACCAGGGTGGCCTTGAACTCACAGAGATTCTCCTGTGTCTGCCTTCTAAGTATGGGGATTACAGAAGTGCATTACCACATCCAACTACTATTTAAAAAATTTTTAAATCATTTGCTAAAAGACAATCTCTGCAAAGAGATATTAGACACTTCCAATAGTAATTGCTTCCAAAGAGACTGAGCAGCAGAAACAAAGAAGGTATCATTTCCCTCTATGCTTTTTTCATACCTTAAAAAAATAATCCCACTAAGGGGCTGTAGAAGTAGCTCAGTGGTTAAGAGCACTGGCTGTTCATCTAGAGGACCCGGGTTCAATTCCCTCAATTCCCAGCATTCAAATGGTCCCTCACAACTGCCTGTAACTCCAGTTCTAAGGTACCTGACACCCTCACATCAACATACATGCAGCCTGAACACCAATGCACACAAAATAAGAAATAAATCATAAAAATAAATAAAAAGGCTGCCATGCAAATTAAACTCAAATAATTTTTAAAAAAACATAATATTCCTGAACAGCTTATATTTTTAGTTTCAATTATACCCTGCTTGTATTTCAAACTGCTCAAGATACCTATTTCCTCACACCCTTTTCCAACAAAACTGAAAAACCTCGTAGAAAAAAATTTCATATTTTATACTATAATCTATAAAATATACTTCATTAGCTATAAAACATGGATTTTTACTTTTGGTCCTGGTGTGAAGTGCTCCAAGGAGGTAGGCACTGCCATTCGAGAGGCATTTGCCAAGCTTTCCATTATCCCTGTGCAGAAAGGCTACTGGGGAACAAGATTGGCAAGCCCCACACTGTGCTGTGCAAGAAGACAGGCCACTGTGCTCCGTGCTGGTCTCATCCCTGTCCCCAGAGGCACTGGCATTGTCTTTGCTCCTGTGCCCAAGAAGCTGCTGCTGATGGCCAATATGGATGACCGCTACACATCAGCCAGGGGCTGCACTGCCATCCTGGGCAACATTGCCAAGGTCACCTTTGATGCCATCTCCAAGACCTGCAGCTACTTGACCCTGACCTCTGGAAAGACTGTTCACCAAGTCTCCTTATCAGGAATTTACTGAACATCTTGTAAAACTCCATACCAGATTTTGTTCAGAGGACCAAGACTCCAGCTGTGGCTACCATATAGGGCTTTTATACAAGAAAAATAAAAGTTCATTAAGTCGGGAAAATGGATTTTTTAATTTTTCTTTTTTTCAAATTATGTATATGGGTGTCTGTGTCTGCACATAGGTATATGCATATGAGTATAGGTGCCCCCAGAAACCAGAAAAGGGGATCAGATGCCTTGAACTTGGAGTTACAAGCAATTATGAACTGTCTAATATGGGGGCTAGAAACTGAACTGTGTATCTCTCCAGTTGGATATTTTTAAATTTAATTGTTTTTTCATTATACACCATTTTCGAGATTTAGTAAAATAAAGAAATTTTAAGCTGGATGGTGGTAGCGTGGTGGCGCACGCCTTTGATCCCAGCACTCAAGAGGCAGAGGCAGGCAGATGTCTGTGAGTTGGAGGACAGCCTGGTCTACAGAGTTCCAGGACAGAAAATCCTACACAGAGAAATCTAGTATCCAAAACAAACAAACAGCAAAAAAAAAAAAAAAAAAGTCCATTGTTTTAATGAAGCCTGTAATCTCAGCACTTGGGAGGTGGAAGCAGGAGGATTGTTCACAAAGACAGCCTAGGCTACCATGAGACTGTTTAAAAAGAACTGAAGACCGTAAACTCAGTTGTGTAAAGCAATAGCATTTACTCTTTCTACAGTGACTAAACATGAAAATCCCTCAAGCAACTTCAATGTGACTCTTATTACCTCAACAGCAATCTGATTTGGCATTTAGGATAGTTCTGTAATTCATCCCAGGAAAAGTATTTTAAATGTTAATTACTATATAACTCTTAATTAAGGTCAGCAGCACTGGTATGGGAACGGCTTCTGAGAAATGCTGTTTCAAGTCTACCTTCACAGATAAAACTCTCACCTAATTTGTGATCAAGTTAATAGTATGCTTTGAGGTCATTTCTAACTATGAACTGACTTACACTTTATATTCAACCTGTTCAGAATTAACTGACCTAAAGAAACATTGCAATCAATCTTACTATACTTTGGACTTGTAGTGTAACTCCAAGCTCAGCTAAAGTCACAGCTTTGATGCTGTGCTTATCAGCAGGGCCAGAAAAACAAATTTCTCCCTTAGGAGATTCGAATAAAAGATTAAGGCAAAAGCTCCTGATTCCTTTTTGTTTTTGTTTTTTTCAAGACAAGGTTTCACTGTGTATTCCTGGCTGTCCTGGAACTCACTCTGTAGACCAGGCTGGCCTAGAACTCAGAGATCTGCCTGTCTCTGCCTCCTAAGGGCTGGAATTAAAGGCGTGCGCCACCACAGCCTGCTCCTGAAATCCTTTTTATTGCCACATTTGCTGTGCAGCTTTGGTGAGCATTTTAGATTAGGTGATTAGAACAGTAGAAACCTAAAGTCTGAATTCTTGTGCACATGCCCAGAGACACACATAATTAAAAATAAATATAAATCTCAAAAAAAAAAAGAAATGCATTCCCAAATAAACATGTCAACAATTGTTAAAAAGGTAAGGAAGCAGTTTTATTTTAAAACAAATACCAATTAAATCAGCAAATAACTTTTATCAATGTAAATTCTTTTTAAATAGAAACTGAACATGTATGTATCAGATTACACTTTCATTCACTGGCACAACACACTTCTAAAACAAGCTAATACAAATGAAAATACATGACTGTGTACAATGCATGCAAATAGCACGCCACCATCTTCCAAGACCATCATTTTTGGCCACCACTTTCCAGACCATAATTTTTACATGAATATACTGGCAAGTAGAGAAAATCAATGCACACACTTAACATATACACACTAGAATCCAAAGCACCATGTAAATATAACACGGAAGCATAAATACAGAAGCATAAACACAGCTTGGTCTGAAACAGGGATTTGTGCAACAGTGTTGTGACTGTGTGAGCAGTGACTAATGTGGAGACTGAGATTCATGAAATCCTTATGCCCTAAGCAAAAAATGAAGAAACCAAACAGGAAGTCACACACCCTGCTGCAAGCCAGCTTCTTCTAAGATGAAAATGTGAAGAGAACTCAGGAATGCCAATTCTTATATCTCGAGTAAAACTGTGAAGACAGAGACAGTCTAGAAATATGAGAGGAGCTAAATTCTTTTTGCTTTAAAGGCCCTGCTGCAGACTTGCTGCTCCGCCTCATGGCTTTGAGAAGTAAAACTGAAGAAGTTGTTAAGGGGTTCAGGTGCGGTGGGGGAATCCACAAAGAACGGTCTGAACTGAACATCTTCATCTCCACCACCTCGGCTTCCAACTGGTGTACGGTCCAAATGAAACTTTGAGCTGTTCCCTAGGGGAGAAAATTAGGGAAGAATATAAGAATATTTCCTAATAGATCTTTAGGAACAAACTAATAGTCATTGAATAAATATTTTAACAAAATTCAACTCCTATGAGATGGATAATTATCTTAAACTCATCTCCTATGGTAAGATAAATACAGACCTAACCCAAGACCAAAGACTACGTCACTCAGCTCCTCCCGTACCACAGAATACACTACACCTTCTGTGAAAACTCAGATTGAATAAACATCTGACTATTTCTACCAGACCCCTCCTTGGCTTTAACAGACTTCATTGAAGAGGAAAAAGCTGACTGTATCTGCCTAAAATAACCTGATTGTATCCACCTAAAATAACTGCTCAGTGCTTAAGAGCAGCTGTTGGTTGCTCTTGGAGCAGACCTAGGTTTGATTCCTAGCACTCACATAGTGGATCACAACCATCCAGTTCCATGGGATCCGACACTCTCTTATGGCCTCCATGAGTAGTACACAAGTGGTATACATACTTACACACAGGCAACACATACATAAAAAAGAAATCTTTTTTTAAATGTACAAAATGAGGCCGGGCGGTGGTGGCGCACGCCTTTAATCCCAGCACTCGGGAGGCAGAGCCAGGCGGATCTCTGTGAGTTCGAGGCCAGCCTGGACTACCAAGTGAGTTCCAGGAAAGGCGCAAAGCTACACAGAGAAACCCTGTCTCGAAAAACCAAAAAAAAAAAAAAAAAAAATGTACAAAATGAATGAAGAAACACATACAAGGACAAGAAAAATATGTACAACAGCCATTTGGAATGACTAAATTATTGTGGAATAATCTTTTTGTACACTGTAAAAATGTATCTATGCCAAGGCACCTTCTGATTGGGTTAATAAAGAGCTGAATGACCAATAGCTAAGCAGGAAGAAGTTAGGTGGGACTTCCAGGCAGAGAGAAAGGAGGAGATGAATCTAGGCACAGGGGAGATGCCAGAGAAAACAGAAGTACAAGATGGAAGAAAGGTAAAAAGCCACGAGGCAAAACACAGATTAATATAACTGGGTTAGTTTAAGTTATAAGAGCTAGTGGGATAAGCCTAAGCTATAGGCCAAGCTTTCATAATTAATAATAAGTCTCCATGTCATTATTTGGGAACTGGTGATACAGAGAAAGACTCCCTATACTAAATTGCCATTTATAAATAATGAAGCTAGGCAGAAAACTTCATTTTTAGACTGGATCTCATTCTAGTACTGAAACTAGTTTGTAGACCAATTGGTCTCAAACTCAGAGCAATCCACCTGCCACAGCTTCCTGGGTACTGGGATTAAAGGCTTGCACCACCATGCCAGGCAGGAACCTTTCTTATTTATTTATTTGTCTTTTTTCCAGACAGGGTCTCACTATGTAGCTTTGGCTGTCCTGGAACTCAGAGCTCCATCTGCCTCTGCCTCTCATGGGCTGGACTAAAGGCTGCCCCATTAGACCTGGCCACAAAACATTTTGTTTGCACATTCTTATCACCTCATTCCCATTCTAGAACATCATTCTCTCTCACTGAACCCTTTTCCTTAGTCTATAATAAATGCCAAAATTTGAGTACTTGGAAAAGCCTACCACAAGAGACTTCAATGTTGTATGCCGATTTATAAAATTATATTAATACTGAGGGGAAAAACTACTGGATTCTGTTGCACTGGTGTTATCAAGGGAAGAACTGGAAATGAGTCACCCACCTATCAAAAAAGATCCTGAGTCAGCCTAGATTTTGAATTGCATACTGGGACAATAATTACATCCTCATTACTCAGAATCATGCCCAAGAGCCAGGCACATAAAACATATTTGGTAATTATATGATGACTGAATAAACAATTAATGATCAAAGGGCGGAAACAAGAACTGTGCGATCCGGACCAGTCAGCAAGGTGGCCCAATGAGTAAGGGCGCTTGCTACCTAGACTGACAACCTGAATTCAATCCCCATGACCCACGTGTGTATGGAGATTCATGCAAGGTGTCCTCTGACCTATCTGTGTATTGTGGCACGTATACAATGCCCCCCCACACACACACATACACACACACACACACACACACACACACACACACACGCACGCACGCACAACAAGCAAATAAATGTAATGAAATAAAACACATCTTGGCATGTGAAAGAAACTAAAACATGGCCTTGTCAAAGGCAGAAGAGCTGGTTAAAGGATGGGCTGTGCAATGCAAATCACATGAAAACATGAAACAGCAGTGCTAACACTCACTAATAAAAAGCTCTAGCTCATACTAATTACCACCACTAAATAGCTAGCAGAGTACAACCTGAACATTTGTTTTGCAGAGATTAATTCTTCTCAAATTGAAAATAACTTAAACTAGGTATGGTGGCATACTCCTTTAATCCCAGGATTCAAGAGGCAGAGGCAAGCAGATCTGTGAGTTTGAGGACAGTCTTGTCTACACAGTGAATTCTAGAACAGCAAGGGTTGAGACCTTGTCTTAAAAAAATAAAAAGATAAAGGTAATTTAAATGTATGCAAATACAACTGAGAGCAATATTGTACAGAGTAAGACAAGGAATCCACAGCTTACCACGGCTCACCACTCTCGAAGCCTTCTGGGTGTGCAGAACTAGGCAGCACAGTGTGAAAAATCATAATTTAAAAACTAGGTGTTGGGTATCAGATTCCTTCTTACCTAATGGAAAGCCAAAGACACCAGACTGTGCAATTGTAGCTTGTTCCAGGGAACCTTCTTGGCTAGCAATAGAGATATTTCGTAGCCTAAGGCTGTCATAAAGGCCTTGGAGCTTTTGATACTGGCGATTGCGCTCCATAAGTTTTTCAGAGATATCACTAAACTTTTTCTTGTATTCTTCTAGAACTTTCTTCATGGAGGTGACCTCTCCTTTCATAGAGGTCAATTCTACATCCTTGCTCTGTATTTGCTGTGTATATATCTTTTCCATCTGTTTCAGATGGCTCTCAGCCTTGCTGAAATTATATTCTTGATAGAGACGTTCCTGGTGTACCTGTCCAAATAAATGAGAAGCACCACAATGTTAGAGATGTAGAACCTCATCTAAGCTCAAATGGAAAGGATGCTTATACAGGGATATAATTATTACAATATTTAAAGCCAGATTAAAACCATAATCACGTGGGGCAGTGGTGGTGCATGTCTTTAATCCCAGCACTTGGGAGGCAGAGGCAGGCGATCTCTGTGAGTTCAAGGCCAGCCTGGTCTACAGACCTGGATCCAGGACAGTAAAAACTACAAAGAAACCCTGTCTCAAACAAACAAAAAACCATAATCACAACATACAATGAGGTGATTACAAAAAATGGGCTGCTCAGAAAACCATACCACCAAAACAAGTATGCCTTATCTGCAAGTAACATATCCTAAAGTTTTTAAGAAATACAACAGAAGTTAGGTGTGAAGGTTTATACATGTAGTAGTCACAGACATAGGAAATGTGAGCAGGAGGATCAGGAGTTCAAGGTAAGCCACCTCAGCTAGGGTAAATTCAAGGCCACCTGGATTACATGAGACAAAACCAAGAAAAAATACATGTTTACAGGTCACATGCACATATATGAAGCCCAATTTTTAACTGATCCAGAGTTAGAAAAATAAGACCCCCCCCCCCCAAATATCCTAGAGTTTACACATGTGTAACTCATGTTGGGCAGAACCTGTAACTAGTGCATAGAAAACAAAATAGGATGTTTACTTCTCTGGTAACTGGAAAAAGCAGCCATGATGGGAAAACCTAGAATGGGAGCAAACTACAAAATATTGAGGCCTCACAGGATTAACTCAGAATGAATCAGACCTGAATACAAACTGCAAATCAACTCATAGGCGATAACACAAGGGAAATCTAGACACTCTGAAGTTGGCAATGACAGTTATATTATCTATTTTTTATGTTGTCTGAATGTATGTATGTGCACCAGTCAGAAGAGGGCTTCAGGTCCCCTGAGTTATGCATGGCTGGGAGCCACCATGTGTAGATGCCAGGAATGGAACCCAGGCCCTCCACGAAAGCCACAAGAGATCTTAACCAGTGAACCATTTTCTCAGCCACACCAATGACTTTTAGACAACATCAAAAAAAGTCACTGAAGATGTCAACAAAATAAAAATCTCTACTCCATGAAAGGCACTGTTGAATGAAAAAGACAAATCACAGAACTGGGAGAACATGCAAAAGATCTGAAAAGGGCTGCTATCCAAAATAAGAAAGGATGCTTAAACAGCAGTAACAACAAAACCACTTTAAAAATGGGCAAAGTCAGGGTATGGTGGCATATGCCTTTAATCCCAACACTCAGAAGGCAGAGGCAGGTTCTGTGTGCTTGAAGCCAGCCTAGCCTGCATAGATAATTCCAGACCAGCTAGGATTACATGAGACCCTGTCCCAAAAACAAAAACCAATAGCCTGAAGACCTCAGTTCAACCTCAAGACGGCACATGATGGAGAAACCCAATTCCCACAAATTGTTATCTGACCTGTGGATCCAGAACATGCACACACAATAACTAAATGTAAAAAAAAAAAAAAAAATGAGCATAGGTTCCCATCAGTTCTCAGGAAAATTAAGGTGATTCCACTCTACCTCATTAAAATGGCCAAAATTACAATTCGTCATTTTTGGCAGGAACACAAAGTAATACAGCCCATGGAAAACAGTTTGGCAGTTTCCTACAAAAATATGGTCAGGGCTGAAAAAGTGCTTGGCTAGCATATGCAAGACCCTGGGTTTGGTCGTTAGCACTACAAAAAAATTCTTGAGCTAGCTGATGAACAAATATGTAGGTAATTGCCACACAGTATAAACAATAAAACAAAAGTATGTGTACAAACAGTTACTCACAAAATATAAAAACAAAAATATCTACTTAGCACATGATTAATACTTGTAATAAAAATTAGGGGAGAATATTTAAAGAAAGTTTTCTGTGCATTCATGCATATGTAAGAAACACATACTAGTGAAGGGACGTTTTAAGAAAATCCCTCGGAAGGGAGTTAGAGATTTAGCACAGTGGTAAAGCACTTACCTTTTAAGCACAAGGCCTTGGGTTCAGCAGCATCCCATATCAAGACAAAAAGAGATCCTACCTAGGCCTCAGATTATACTTCAGTGTACACTGTATTTGCGCACATGGAGGCTGATGTTTGCACACATGAGAAGCCAGCTCTCCTATGGGTGCTGAACTCAGGTCCTCATGCTTACACAAGCACTTTACCCACTGAGGCATCTCCCCAGCCCCTAAGCACTAACCTGGTATGTCCAGAAGGCCAATGCTCGGGAGCTAATGTCCAATACAATCTCTGGTCGAAGCCCTGCCAATACCATAGCTTTATATTCCTCTGACGGGCTGAGTTCGGTACGGACAATATCTAGCTTTCCAGAGAGGGTACTGTTGCAGGCAGGGCAGATAGCTGGTGAACGGCTGAATTCACCACTGCCATGCTGGTCACAGAAGATGTGAGAGCAGGCAGTAACCCAAGCATAGCCAGAGAGCTTGAGACGACATTTTCGATAATTGCAAAGCAACATATCCTCATACAAAGACATGATAATAGCCTCCAGAAGAAGAATCCTACCAAGGAGTAAATGAAGAGATAAGCAAGTCAAATTGTAATGAATATGGAATTTTTTTTAAATGTACTTTTATTCTGACAAAAAATGGACATTTTGGGCATTTATTAAAATTGTATTGATTTCAGCCTCAATACTGTGGTCTTTCCTTATATATACAGATAGTTCCAACTCTTACCAATGCCAAGAATACTATGTACATGGCAAATGTTTAGAACATCACAAATAAAAATTAAATCTGTCTGTTGTGTCATTTTCCAACACCAGAACATAAAGCATTCTATTAAGTCCAGGCGTCATGGTACAAGCCTTTAATACAGTATTTGGGCTGTAGAAGCAGGCAGATCTTTGTAAATTCAAGGTCAGCCTGATCTATATAGTGAGATCCAGGACAGTCAGGGCTAGTACATCTCATACTTGGCAGACATGAGGCTGCACATAACTGCAAGGACTTTTCAGTAAAAAATTAAGTGACACTCTTAAGGGTTTTTTTAATACATCTTGATTTCTCATATTTCTTAACTGAACTGCCTTGATTAAAAGACTAGCTGCCTGATAAAATTAGATATAAACTAAGCTAATTCATCTATGATGAAGCCTGAAAATCTACATTAAAATGTTTGTTTAAATTTTATCAGTTAAATAATACATCTATTTATTATTTATATATTGCCATAGTCTGATTTAACACATTGACAATTAATTCTCTAGACTAAGTTGCTTTTCAGTAGTGTCCACATATAGAAAGCAATAGCATTAACAAGTCATATATTGAATAATAGTGGTGTATCAATTATACGCCAAGGAAAAGTGAGCACATTCAACGTACAACTTAAGAATGTTTCCTTAACAGGGTGATGGGCCACACCTGTAATCCCAGCACTCAGGAGGCTGAAGCTGGGCATCCCTTGTTCGAGGCCAGCCTGGGCTACACAGCAAGCTCCTGTCTCAAAAACAAAACATACTCCCCGTGCTGGAGTGTCTCGCCCAGCCCTGATGCAGGGGATGAGCTTGGTCCTGCCTCACCGTGATATGCCATGCTTTGTTTGACGCCCATGGGAGGCCTGCCCCCTTGCCCCTTTCTGAACAAGGAGGAATGGATGGGGGGGGGGGGGGGGGAATGGGAAGAGAGGAGGGAGGGGAAACAGTGGTTGGTATGTAAAATAAATGAATTTTTAATTAAAAAAAAAAGAAGCCAGGCGGTGGTGGCACACGCCTTTAATCCCAGCACTTGGGAGGCAGAGGCAGGAGAATCTCTGTGAGTTCGAGGCCAGCCTGGTCTACAGAGGGAGTTCCAGGACAGGTTCCAAAGTTACACAGAGAAACCGTGTCTCGAAAAACCAAAGGAAAAAAAAGAAAGAAAAGTAAATAATGATGATGATGATGATGATGATGATGTTGCTTTAGTAACGGGGGTCGATGGATATGCTGACACCTTCATCTCAAATGCCACACCTGTACAACCTACCACCTGAGCGGCAGCCCCTACAAGATGAGTAGTCCCGAGTCATCCCTGGATTCCGCGACTCTGAGGCCACTACCGGCTACAACGAGACAGCCTTCAAAGGGACAAATACACAGACGTCCTTGCTGAATTTCCAGATACCATTCACCTGACAGCCAGCGGCCAACTTGACTCTACCTCCCCCGGAGTAGAGCTGGAGGGGACGGAGCCGCCAACTCCACAGGGCAGGCGGGAAAGCCACACACACGAGGACGGCCAAGCGCTTCGGAACAAGACCCACCACACTGTGTTCCCTGGAGTTTCAGCCTTCCCCCCTCACCGCTCACAGAGAAGACGACGGACAAGATACCTGCAGCAAAGCAAGCTAAAGGCGCCGGCCTTCCACCAAGCGAGGCAGCACGCAGGCTTCGTTCGCGTGGCCGAGCTGTCGGGGCGCATGCGTGTCGGCCGGCCGCGGGGCCTGCTGGGTAGCACGAGGCGGGCTGCTGGGTAGCACCCGGTGCTCGTTGCTGAGGCGATCCGCCAGAGCCTTGTCGTCCCGCTTTCCCCCGTCAACATCCATTGAGAGCCGATATTGCAGATAGTCACAAGATGCTTAAGAGGAAGCAATAGGCCGGGCGGTGGCGGCGGCGGTGCACGCCTTCAATCCCAGCACTCGGGAGGGAGAAGCAGGCGATCTCCGAGTTCGAGGCCAGCCTGGTCTCAGGAGCAAGTTAAACCCTATCTCAAAAAAAAACAAAAGCCAAAAAAGCAGCAGCAGCAGCAACAGGATCAAGTGCCATACTTTTCTCTTTTTCTCTAGTCCCAGCACTGGACAGAAAGACTGACCGTTGAGTTCCAGGCCAGCCAAGACCACATGGTGAGACCCTCTCTCAAGTAACTTTTAATATATATATTTTTAAACATCTGTGTGCCCCTTGTGTCCATGTAGTCAGAAGAGCGTGTTGGATGCCCTAAGAGCTGGAGTTACAGACAGTTGTAAGCTGCCTTGTCGATCGATGCTGAGGATGACCGGGTCCTCTAGGTCAGCAATAACTACTGAGGCATCCCTCCAGCCCCAGGAGTCATAACTTTGAGATATCTTTGCTGGTAGTATTCAAATAGCTAAGGGGATTATTTTGTTTGTTTTCAAGATTTATTTATGTAATTTATGTATGTGGCTGTTGTCTGCATGTACATCGGCACTCCGGCAGAGGGCATAGGATCCCATGAAACTAGTTGTGCCCCATCATGTGGTGCTGGGAATTGAACTCAGGACCTGGGGAAGAACAGCAACCAGTGCTCTTAACTGCTGAGCCATCCCTTCAGCTCCTAAATACTGCTGTAACTTTGCCCTTCAGAGGTTTTTCTGAATTTTCAGTGGTCTTTTTCTAACTGAAAATTAAAATTAAGTCGGGAAGAGGGCTAGAAGGTAGCTAGGATGCAAACCATAATGCCATTCTCTTGCAGCCACCTTCTCAGAAGAGAGGACCCTGTTATGAACTAATGATATCCACACAATGGACACCAACCAATGGACTTTCCCAATATTAAAACTCTTTCTCTTTGGTTTTTGAGACAGGCTCCATGTTTCCTACAGTGGCCTTGAACTCACTGTGTAGCAGAGGATAACCTTGAACTTCTGAACTTTTACTAAAGGCTGGGATCAGGGAAGTGTGTGCTCGAGATATAGAACCTGGTTTCATACTGACGGGACCAAGCAGATACCATAACAAGTTGCTCAGCCTTCTCTCAGAGATCAGGCCTCAATTTCAGTTTCCTGAGACTGAGCAAGCAGTTTCTGAGAGGGCCAGGAACAAAAGACAGTCATTGATGCCCCTCCCTGCCAGCAGGGACAGGGAGATAGGACACACCAAGCCTGGGCCACTGAGCCAGCCCCCACAGTCAGTACATGCTAGGCCACCCAGCCTCCACAGTAGCTCAAGGACAAAGCCTGGGACTTGTCCAGGCGTGCCCAAAAATGGATAACTGTAACCCCCAACTAACCCTAGCCAATTAAAAGTTACTGACATGATTGCCACTCGCATAAACCAATCCTGAGTCTGTTCCTATGTAGTCTGTAGACCCCAAGAACCCCACCCCACCCTGCCCCTTGCTTTACTCCCTGTAAATACCCTGCCCCCTTGCTAACTTGAGATCTCTCCTGCTCTGCTGCTGTGTCAGACAGAGGCCTGGGTTAACTCACAACAGTAAAAAGATTGTTTTTGCATTGGATTTGGTCTCTTGATGGTCTTTGGGGGACTATTGGTACAACAATACATGTTAGGCAAACAACTAAGCTACAGCCATTAAACCCGATTCCTTCCATTAATGAAATAGCTCTAACATTTGCTTTTCCCCCTAGCAACTTAATCCTACTGGTACAAATTAGTCAAGGGAAATTGGATAAGTAAATATTAAGTTTGTATGAGGAAATAAAAGATGAGAATTTAGCCTCCAACTACAGCAGGCTTTATTCAAAGATAGGATGTGGCATCTCTAGTTCTAGACAGGACATAATCAGGGCACAGGACCCAGTCACTAAATGACCAGAGTTCAAGAGAATGCAGATTACATGCTTCAAAAAGGGGTTTCTGTAACTACGGAGAATGGAGAAGCAAAGCTGTCTTCCTTAGACAAGCTGGTTTTGAAATTGCAAGGTCTGTACTCTTACTTCCCAGGTGTCTGGGGTTGGGGTCAGCTGCTTTACTACTGCACTCAAAACTTACTTCTGCTTCTTGGAACTCAGTTTAGGGCCTTAGCTTGGGGGAGCAGGGTTCCTTTAAGGAGGGTCTTGGGTAAACCATACACTACCTACTATATGTTTAAAATAGAGCCTTTTGAGTGTGTCTGGTTTTAACTGTCCCAAACATATAGAGTAGAAATCAAATACAATCTCACTTAAATTTCCAAGAGTAAAAACACTCAGACTTCTACAATACTTACTTCAGGCATATACTAAAGCATACCGTATTATAGACTTATTTACTCTAATAGTTATTGGTTCTAAGCTTTTATAAATTAAACGCCAGAGTTAGACTAAGCCTCTGTGCATTTCTTCCTAACCATGTCAAAAATTCCTATGGAATATCCAAGAGCTGTCAATATAAAATTCTCAAGAAAACTCTATGCTGCCCCATGCATTTCACAGACAGACAAAATGAGAGCTCACTGCTAAAGACCACAACATGCAGAACTATCAGGGTTTGCTTTGTGTTCTTGTCCATCTGGCTGCAGGTTGATTCTGGGACACTATTCTGCTGAGTCAGCTTTCATCTTTGAGTATATTGTACTCTTACACTGGATTTTAAACTGCTTTGAAATGTATTATTTATTCATTGGGCCAAGTGGTGGCAGCATATCCCTTTAATCCCAGCACTCAGGAGGCAGAGGCAGGCAGATCTGAGTTTCAGGCCAGCCTGGTCTACAGAGTTCTAAGACAGCCAGGCCTGTGACAGAGAAACCTTACCTCTGAAAAGGGAGGAACTGGGACAGAGGGAAGGTTCAGGGGTTAAGAGCACTGGCTGGCTGCTCTTGCAGGACCTGGGTTCGATTCCCAGCACCCAGATGGCAGCTCACTACTGCCTGTTAACTCCCATTCAGTTCTAGGAACTCCGATGTCCTGTCTTCTGACCTCCATCAGGAATGTAAATGGTGAACAGATGTACATCCAAGCAAAAACACTGGCACACATAAATTTAAAAAAGAAATTTATTAATTGGGAAAACAAATCATTTCAAATTTAAACGTGTTTCAGTAACTTCCACGATCAATCACTACAGTCCTGTGAAGTGATATTACAATAAAAAGTCCTCTATAGCTACAGCCCCGGGCTTTGAACTTTTTTCATCCTATCCTCACCTCCTGCTTTATAATTGTTTGACTTGGCAAAGTTCAGAAAGCACTACTGGGCACAGCCTGCCTATCCTCATGAAGCCCAGAGAAGACAAGCCAGTTTTGTATATGATGGACTACAATCTCACTGCTTAGGCTCTCAGCAGTGAGGAGCAAAGTTTACCTGCAACCACATTATAAAGCATTTAAAGATAAGGCACTCTGATAGGACAGGGATCAGGCATACGAAACAAAAGATCATTGACTTAAATTGCCTTACAAAAATGATTGACAGACAAGCGAGTGCCAAACAAAAATTAATCCACTAAGAAAAATATTACTCAATCATATAGGGATACACAATATATTCTCATTCCATACTGTGCCTAATTTTAGGACCAAATTGGGCTTTGGGAGCCAGTTGTAGTGGCAATAATAAGTAGGTAACCAGGCAGACACAATTTAACTTTATGTGCATGGGTGTTTCGCCTACATGTCATGTCTGCATATGTTTGCCCCATTCCCGCCCCCACCTCTCCTCTGTCCCGTCGTCGTCTCCCCCCCCCCCCCCCCCCCCCCCCCCCCCCCCCCCCCCCCCCCCCCCCCCCGCTCCCCAAATCCACTTCTGCTCAGTTTCTGTTCAGGAGAAGCACAGGCCTCCCGTGGACATCAACAAACATGGCATATCAAACTGCAGTCAGACTAAGCACCTCCCTTTGTATTAAGGCCGGGCAAGGTGACCCAGTATAAGGAAGAGGGTCCCAAATGCCAGCAAACAAATCAGAGACAGTCCCTGCTCCCACTGTTAGGAGTCCCACGTGCTACACAACTGTCCCATATTTGCAGAGGGCCTAAGTCAGTCCCATGCAGGCTCCCTAGCTGTCAGTTCAGATGCTGTGAGCCCCTATGAGCCAGGTTAGTGAATTAATTATGTGGGTTTTCTTGCGATGGCCTTGACCCCTCTGGCTTGTAGAATCCTTCCTCTCCTCAGCAGGATTTCCCCAAGCTTGGCCTAATGTTATGGCTGTGGGTCTCTGCATCTGTTTCCATCAGTTGCTGGAGGAAGCCTCTCTGATGATAGTTGAGCTAGGCACAGACCTACAAGTATAACAGAATATCATTAGGCATCATTAGATTGACATTTTTTTCCTCCAGTTGTGTTTGGTTCTATCCTAGATTCATGTAGCCTGTAGGTCCTGGCAGTGTTGGGGTGGGCTCTTGTGGCATGGGTCTCAGGCTGTACCAGTCACTGGTTGGCCACTCCTACAATATCTGTCACCCTCACCCCAGCACATCCCATAGGCAGAACAGATTGTAGGTCGAAGGTTATGTGGCTGGGTTGGTGTCCCAGTCCCTCCACTGATAGTCTTGCCTGGTCACAGAAAGTAGCAGGTTCAGGCTACAGCTGGAGTCATCCTTTTAGATTTCTGTGAGTTTTCCTTGCACTAGATTTCTACCTGACCCTGACATGACCCCCTCCCCCATTCCCAGTCAGCTTTCAGTACTCTCCCTCTCCTCCCCACCCCCACCTCGCCCCCCATATTCCCATCCCAACTCACCACCAGTCTATCCACAAAATATCTTCTGTTTCCTTTTCCCAGGGAGATCCAAGTGTTCACATTGAGCCCTCCTTGTTACTTAGCCTCTCTGGGTCTATGGATTGTACCATAGTTATTCTTTACTTACAACTAATATCCACTTGTCTTATACTATTATTACCATCTAAGATATAAGGATATTAGGAAACTTGCCAAGGTTATATATATATAACTTGTTAAGTGTTAGAACAAGCTTAAACCCAGTCCAACTAGAAGCCTACTGTGTATACTACATAGAAGCACGATACTATACCACCTCAAGATCTTTTGACTCTGACTGTTTAAAAACTAAAATTCAAGCAGCTGACCACAAATTACTAAGCAGTATTTTTAGATTTTGTATATATCAAAATCTCAGCCTCAAGCCTTACCATAAAAGAATGCAGACATTTATCATTTATTGTACAACCATGATTTACAGCATGAAGGTCCAGATCAGAAATGTGGTGTCAATCAGGTTATTCTCTCCTAAACACTAAATGTTTGTACTTCTTGAATTCCAATTTTAGTTTCTGAGAAAAAAAAAAATATATAAGGGGGGTTGGGGGGGATACTGTTCATTAGCTGTGTATACTTCTAAATGAATTCTCACATAAACATGTAAAGTGTAAAGCAAAGTGTCAGGTAAGGAATACATGGTCCATAACCTGTTTGTCATGCAAAATCATTTAATAAACAAACTCATAAAATTGCATAGTATTGAACAAGTAATCATATAAAACTGGGAAGTGATGAGTTCAAAGCTGTCAACTTAAAAAATATACATAATTTAAAAGTGGAGCTGGAGAGACTAGAGAAGTGGTACATCTGAAGAGCATTGACTGCTCTTCCAAAGAGCCTAAGTTCAATTCCCAGTACCCACATGGTGGCTCACAGCTGTCTGTAACTCCAGTTACAGGGAATCCAATGTCCTTTTCTGGCTTCTACGGGCACTGTACATACTTGGTATACAGGCATACAAGAGGGCAAAGCATCAATATACATAGAATAAAAATTTTAAACTGTCAAAACTCATTAGCTAACAGAATTATACCAGCTGTTTAAGTTAGTAAGGATCAACGAGATTTATCTCCCATTATTACAAAGATCAACACAAAGTGTTGATACTATCAAATTCCTTAAATCATGAATTCCCTGGGAGGAAAGGGCCAAAGGCAAGAAATGTTTAGCAGGCCGAATTCACTTTCAACGTTCGCCCCCACTTTAGTCTGCTCAGCACATGTGTGTAATCAGTGTGATCAGCTGAAACACGGACTTGACATGTACTTCATCATGGCAAACTGTGAATGATGGAGGAAGGGCAAACTGATGTGGTTCTTCAGCCAGGAAACTCTCAAAGGCCTTTGCAACCACTGAACTTCAGCCTCTAGTAACATTCCGACATTCCGTCCCTTATCTTTCAAGGTAAAGATGGTTATTATACTATTTACCTCTGTTGTCAAGTGAATCCAGCTTCAGTCTAGGAATCCAACTTGAAATATCAGAACTACTTAGCATCATCCCTGCAAAATAAAAACACACAAAGGTTATACATTGCACTTACATAAATCACACCAACATGCTCCACAGACCAAGTAAGTCATGAGGAAATGTGGGGTGTTTACCCACCAACCCCACAGTTCCCCAGAGTTTTCTTGAGTGTGAACAGCAGGAAATATTACATAGGATTTATATTGTGGAGATAAACAGACAATACAGGAAAGCCTCGAGGGCCTGGAACCTTTCCCAACGGGCCCGACTGTCTCTGCCCCAGGGTTTTTATAGAGACACCAAGGAGTGGCGCAAAAGACTTCCTCCCCCAGCACAGCCAAGTGCAGACCATCTCAGACACCTGCACTCAGGCCCGTGGTCCTAATCGTCCTCCTCTATGCAGACCTGCTGGGTAAAGCCACGAGGAACCTGAAAACCGGCTCCCACAAGGAAACAGTAACTATCCTTTTTCCATCTGCCTCACTATTCAGTGCCATTTGAATCCACCTGTGCTGGAACACACCTGTCACTGCAGCAAGTAATGGAATATTTAAATCAAGCCTCAGGGCTAGAGAGATGGCTCAACAGTTAAGAGCACTGGCTGCTCTTCCAGCTCCTGAGTTCAATTCCCAGGGACCACATGGTGACCCACAACCATCTGTAATGGGATCTGATGCCCTCTTCTCGTGTGCCTAAAGACAGAGCACACACAAACATAAAATACATGAATAAATAAATCTTAAATCAAACTTTGGCCACACACCAAGTTTAAGGTCAGTTAGCTTGGGCTGCAAAGAAGGCCCTGCAAAATATAAGTTTGCAAACAAAATCCTAAACCAATATCAAATCGGGGCAGGATTTGATGATAAACTCAGAATTTTAATTAAGATGGGGCCAGAGAGATGGTTCAAAAGTTAGGAGCGCTTCCTGCTTTTCCAAAAGATCCGGGTTCTGCTCCCAATGCTCACAGCAGACAGCTCACAGCCAATCTGTAACTCCAGCTCCAGTGAGCTCAGCTCTTCTGGCAGCACACTCATAGGTACCCACACATACATATTTTTTAATTTAGATAAAAATCACACACCAAGTCCAGCCAATCTTTGAAAGGAAACAATTCATAAGGCTTTCCTAAATAGGAAGTAACCCAAAATAGTTTTCAAATCCTATTTTAATTTTACTGAGCCAATCCTGATTGAATTTGACTGCCTTAAGAAAATCCACTTCCTTAGACATAGGAAAATTGTTTGGAGCCCCTGTTGACCACAAGATGGCAGTGTACGGAGGCTTTAATTTCCTTTTCCTTGAGAGCTTGTGATGAAAATAATCTCCAGACACTTTTCTATTCTTCACATAATTATGAACTAGAAAACTTCCACATTGTGTACAATTAACATCAAACTCATTGTTAGGTTAGTGGTAGACACCAAAAAAGTGCTAGGGTGCAGAGCAAAGAAAAAAGGAATAAATCTCCAGGTGTGGTGGTGGCTCAGTGCAACCCAGCATTCAGAGGCTCAGGGAGGCTTTCTGGATTCCAGACCAGTTTGACCCAGTCAGACCAAACAAAAAGAATTCCTTACTGAGGAAGGCTTCTGCACACGAAGGTATGTATTTAAATTGCACGTGTAATTAAGTAAACACTCACACACTGCAAGACCACTTAATTAAAATTGTTTCTTTTTTTTTTAAAGATTTATTTATTTATTATATATACAGCATATATGCCTACAGGCCAGCAGAGGGCACCAGATCTCATTACAGATGGTTGTGAGCCGCCATACGGTTGCTGGGAATTGAACTCAGGATCTCTGGAAGAGTAGTCAGTGTTCTTAGCCTCTGAGCCATCTCTCCAGCTCCCTAAAATTGTTTCTTGTCAGGCCCATAATCCCAGCATTTACTTGGGAGGCAGAGGCAAGAGAATGAATACAAGTTCCAGGCCAGCCTGGGCTCCCAAACAAGACCCTATCTTAAAACTATTCAGTCAAACTAATCACGATTTCCTTTGTTCAGTAACTGTATTGTAATCGTGGACAACACAATATGGAACACTTTCATCGCTGCAGACAACTCTACTGGAAATCAGAACCAAAACGGTTAATCTGACTAATAAGTTGACGGAAAAAAGCAATACTGCCTTTAAAGTTCCTACTATAAATATAGCTAAGTGTGGTGGCAAACACCTGATCTCAACATATAGGAGGTGAATCAGGAATACAAGGCCAACCTGGGCTACATAATCAGAAAAAAAAAGTCACAATCCCATATCTACATAGATATCTCTGCCTCCAATGAATTCCCTAAGTAAGGCATATACAATTCTACCTAAACTCCATGCTGTTCACATTTATGTGAACAGCTACAGGAGATGGTTTGCTTTAGATTGAGAAAATGGCACACTGGTTCTATAGGTGAGAAACTGAAATGGTTTTAAGGACCTCAGAGACATACATATTCAAAGGGTCATGTTAGTCCTCCCATCACATAAACATGAGATATGTGAACACAGGAAGTTTCTACAGTTTGAACAATGTCTGCCTCAAAATTCTTCAATCCAAATGCTTTTTACATTGTTTGAAAGGGACAACCACTCTATCTCATAAAACCTGAATTCCAAGGGACCTTGTCTTTCCTGGTGTTAAATACTGCCTTTCACAATATATGGTGCTTGATAGAGATCTAGTGGTCATGGTCTCTCTCTCTCTCTCTCTCTCTCTCTCTCTCTCTCTCTCTCTCTCTCTCTCTCACACACACACACACACACACACACACACACACACACACACACACACACACGGGATATACACAATGCTGAAACATTCCCTAAGAATTTTATAAACATGCCATAATCAAAGACAATGTGTGTTGTAGCTCATGCTTTAATCCAGCACTCAGGAGACAGAAAAAGGCAGATCTGAGTTTTAGGCTAGCATGGTCGACACGGTGAACCTTGTCTCAAAAAAAAAAAAAAAGAAAGAAAGAAAGAAAGAAAGAAAGAAAGAAAGAAAGAAAGAAAGAAAGAAAGAAAGAAAAGAACACACAGAAGAAGGGAGGAATATGGTATCGTACTGTCTTAGGGTTTCTATTGCTGTGACAAAATATCATGTCCAAAAAGCAAGTTGGAGAGGAAAGAGTTTACTGGCTAGCTTCCCCTAGCTTGCTCAGCCTGCCTTCTTATAGAATCCACAACCACCAGCCCAGGATCAGCACCACCAACCATGGGCTGGGCTGGGCCTTCTTCCACTGATCACAAATTGAGAAAATGCCTTACAACAGAATCTCATGGAAGCATTTCCTCACCTGAGGCTCCTTCCTCTCTAATAACTCTAACTTGGGGCAAGTTGACACACAAAACCAGCCAGTACAGGTACTGACCTGTAATATCAACCTGAGGTCAGAATGTCAGCAAGTTTAAAACAAGCTTGGATAATTTAGCAAGATCCTATTTCAAAATAATTTTTTACAGGGCTAGAAAGAGTTGCAGCTCAGTCAGTACCTAGTACCATGAGAAGAGAGCAGGGAAACAGCATATATGTGTAATGCAGAAAATCTGGGTCAAAATGAATGCCTACCCGTACAGTCCCATCAGCCTTTAAACCTTCCTCTTGAGAATGTCCAAATCCAAGCCCACTTTATAGATATTTTGGGGTTTTCACAGGACATCTGAACTGGCACACAGAGTGCTACAGTCCCAGCTCTTTCCTGGACACATTTCATCTTCAACCTGAAACCAGAGAACAAAAGAAAGTAAACACCGAGGCGATGAGGCACAGGTGCCGATACAGACACCAAGTTCTGTTTCCTACTCACTATCACTTCTCTGACGGGCATAAGGAAAGTGGTTTACTGGGGACAGAACACACTGATTCATCCACCCAGGCCCACGACTGCTCAGATGAGTGAACAGTGCTGAAAGCCGTGGCAGCAGGAAGAAGTAACTGGAACTCAGAGTGCAAGAGGCAGTAAAACTTCCCACGCTGTGAACTTGCTATTTTCCCGTTCATTACAGTTCTCCCACCTGAGGGCCTGTAATCTACTTTGTATAGATCACCTCATTTTCTAAATACAATCTTCTGTTTTTTAAAAAAAATATACGCAAGCAAGGTTTAGAGAAATGGCAAGGTAAGCTTGATGGTTAAGAATAAATTGTCATTATTTTTTCCCCAGCTTTACTAAGGTATAATGAACAAATACAAACTGCAGTCTAATGAGTAGTGTGTTGATAAGAGGCCTCCGTTACTCCTCCTTTGTGTGGAGAAATGTGTTGAGCACACTTAATATCTCCTGTTAACAATATTTGAGTACAGACATGCTGAACTTCCTCCTCCACTGTTCCTAAGTTCAACTTTTTAGGTTCTACACGTAAGTAAGATCAAGAATTGCCTTTCAGTGTGCAGCTCATTTCATTTAGCAAAACATCCCCCCAGTTCCTGTTTCAAGGCTGAGTCATATTCCAGTGTATACACCACCTCAACCTGCACATTTAAATAGTCTAAGTTTCTCTTTTAGTCATTGTGAATGATGCTTCAACGAACATGGGAATAGTTTTCTATGTTTGTACATTCCATAATTGAATGTATTTTTGTTGTGGTGGTTTTTTCTTTAGATAATGGTACCCAGGAGCCCATACTAGCTTTGAACTCACTGGTGAGCCAATAGTGATCTTAAACTTCGTTATAGAATTTTTTGTTTGTTTTTAAGACAAGTCTAGCTTCTTGGGCCATAACTGGCCTCAGAGACCTAAAGTGCTGTGATTAAAGAGTGCCACCACACCACACAAACCCTGAACTTCTCATTCTCTCGATTCACATCTACACTGTAAGAATCAGACAGCGTGCTACTTTGCCTGCATGCATGTATGTATGCATGTGCACATGTGTGTTCCTGGTCCCCGCAGAGTTCAGAAGGGGATACTGGATCCCCTGGAACTGGAGTTACTGAGACAAACCCAAGCTAGGCAAGTATTTTAGAAGCTGAACTACGTCCCCTGCCCAGATAATGGGTTCTGAAGGCAGACAGACTACATTTTAATCATTATTTGCTGTAACCTTAAACAGAAATACAAGCTATTAAGACAACGCGACCTCACACTAAGAATTTCTTTGACGATCAATGAGGTAATAAATATACTCTACGCTGCAGCTGGCATGGAGTTAAATGTTTGATGTTATTTCTATCACTTGTGAAAGATCAGTCAACCCACTAATAACAAATAGTTATCATGAAAAAGATTCAGAAAGGTCATTCATAAAGGCCCTCTAGCTCCAAGATGTTGCCTTTTAGGATTAAATGACCCAAATTTGCTTTTCCATTTCTGTTATTCCCTACTTAACACATTCCCCCATGTTGGGATGACAGGCACATGCAGCCATGTCTGGCTTTTGTGGACTTGAACTTACGCTTGGTCCTCCTGCGTGCAGAGTAAATGCTCTTACCCGATAAACCCTTTCTAATTCCTGATGTCCTCTTCTCTACTCTTTTTGAGATAGGGTCTCACGATTAGGGCCCTGGCTGTCCTGAAAAGAATGCCCTAAATCTTCTTTCTTATGTGGTTAGTCTAAAAGTATTTCAACTTTTCCCACCTTAATACGAAAATATGGCTTAACATAACACCACAATTATCAGTTCTCCAGTAAACTCTGAAAAGTATGCCCCTTTTGACCCTGCAAATATACAAGAAGCACATGGTTGTTCTCAGTCTGCCCACCCTTTCCAACATTACATGTGCTCACAAGATAACTCATCACCACCACCCCACCTAAACTCAAGGTAACAAAGACAGTCATAAAGTTTGTCAGCATGGTCTCTACCGATGGTAGAAAATTCATTACTGCTAACCAGGACTGCCTCTAAGTCACTACTGTGCAAAGTGAATAAAAACAATAGGAAGCACTATAATATTCACATCTAGATATTATATATATATATATACATCTTTTTAAAAATATTTGTGTATGTGTGTTTTGCCTGCATGCATGAATGTATGCATGTACACATGTGTGTGCCTGGTCCCGCAGAGTTCAGAAGGGGATACTGGATCCCCTGGAACTGGAGTTACTCATGGGTGGTTTTAAAACACCACACAAGAGCTGGGCACTGAATGCAGATCCTCTTCCAGCACATGCTCTTAGCTCCTGAGCCATCTCTCTAGGCCTCAGATATCTAGAATCCTATTAAATAATATACCAAAGCCCAACTCCATGCCAACTGACTTATTTATAGTAACTCTTTGGGGGAAAATATTAAGATCACAAGCTATCTAAGTAACTACTCATAAAAACTATTAAATTATGGCGTGAACATATATTAGAATGTGACAAAGCACATGGATGTTCTTTACCAATATGGAGAAAAGCACAGGGCATAGCTATGTACAGAAAGAAGTGAGTACACACTTTACTGTGTGTGCACCCAACACCCTAAGATACACAAGTCCTAGGGAAAGATAAGAAACCTCACTGTGCACACTCTGAACCTATTCAGTTCCCAGCACTCACATGGTTGGTGTCTCAAAACTATCGGTCACTACAGTTTCAAGAAATCCAATGTCCTCTGGACTCCGCAGGCAGCAGACACATACACGTAGATACATGATGCATGTAATTATGGACTTAATGACAAATGAGGTCAAGTGTAAGGACAGAGTCACCAATGCCCATTAGTGCATGAGCTAGGTTAGGATTTCTCTTTCTCACATTTTCTGCCCATAACAATAACCCACGGTCCAGGTGTGATTGATGCCACACACCTTTGACCACAGCACTCAGGAGACAAGAGTCATAGTGAGTCTCTGTGAGTTGAGGCCAACCTGGTCTACATAGCAAATCCCAGAACAGCAAGAGCTCCGTGACACCCTGTCTCAAAAATTTAAATCAACTAAGCAGGGCTACAGAGATGGAGCCGCAGTGAAGAATGCTTACCACTCTTGCAGAGGACCTGAGTTCAATTCCCAGCACCCATGTTGGGCAGCTCACTGCTGTGGGTAACTCCAGGTCCAGGGACTAAACCCCTCTTCTGCTTGGAGGACACCTGCATACTGTCTGCACATACCTCCCCCTTACACACACACACACACACACACACACACACACACACACACACACGTACATACATAATTAAAAATAAATTCTTAAGCCAGGCAGGCGGTAGTGGCGCATGCCTTTAATCCCAGCACTGGGAAGGCAAGAGGCAGGAGGATCTTTGTGAGTTTGAGGTCAGCCTGGTCTACAGAGTGAGTTCCCGGACAGCCAAAGAAACACAGAGCTAAGCCTTGTCTAGAAAAAATAAAAAATAAATCCTTAAAAAAGAATAACAAACATTTTATATTCCGACTAGTAGCAAAACAAACTGTGAGTTTGGCGAGATCACACTCGAGGTCATTAGAAAAAAAGATTTTTTTCATGAGGAAAAAAATCCACGATATGTATTGTAAATTCACATCTTACCTTTACAAGGTAGTTGTCATTTACTATACACCAACTAAGGGCTAGACTTCATATTTGTGTTCGCTCTTCAAAAAGGATGCCCAGAATGGCTCACACTATCCTCCGATATCACCAGAGCAGTATCATCAGAAGAGACCGTGGCTCTACAATTCGAATATTGGCTTGTACTAAACTGAGACCCTTGGTCCTTCTCAAAGTGTCTTACGCTCTTTACATGGTGAGCCTTCATAGGGCTAATTAATCACCTGTCCTCGGAGTTTGCTATCTAGTCTCATACATGCTCTTGGCAAATATTACAGCAAACACTTCAAAAAGGTTTCTCAAATCCGCCACGGCCGTGGCCCCGGGACATTCGCCAGAAAACTAAAACACGGGCTGAACTCATTCTCCTGGGATCGCTCGAACACATTAGCAAAACAGCGCCGGGTTAATAACGGTGCCTTAAGAAGTAAAAACGAAGCTGAGGATTTCTCGAGAATCAGGCCCTCTGTGCATGCGGCAGAATCTGCTGTTTCTGGCTCACCAGGTCTCGGGAACAGCCGGCAAACTCAGAACTGCCAAAGCCCACGTGGAGACAAGCCAGGTAGTCCACCTCGCTGCCGGCCCCTAACTTCCCAAAACAGAAATAAATCTCCTCTGAACTCACAGACTTCAGCGCCGGCCTGAAATAAATGCCTGGACCCTGGGTAGACCGCTCAAAAGAAAGAAATTGAAAACCAGAGACCCACATTGCTTGCGCACTCACCAGCCCACCCGAAGCGAGAGGTAGAGAAAGTTCAAGGAGGGAAAGCGACCTAAGTAATGTGCCTCCAAGTCTGATTGGCTGAGTTCAAGGAACCTCCCCTCCTCCCTGACCTTAGAAGGTGCTGCGGGGCTGCAACTCAACTCTGTTTTAAGATTGAACTCCTACACCAAATTTCTTTCTTGGTGAGAGCACAAAACACAAGCAAACACGGGATAGTTGAAGGGATCTGGGCATGTCCTTGTTCACATGGGTCTATTCCCTTCTAATCCAATTTCCATCCTGAATTAACCTGTCCTTTGCCACCTCAACACGGTTAACTTAGGCAAGGTAATAGGTCCAGTTACAAGCAGTTTATAACCATCCGAGTTAGAAGTTGCATTCAAGTTAATCTTCAAGCTAACAAACTATGATTAACACTTATTAACGGGTGGTTTAGTGTTTCTCCTAGAAAGTAAAATTTGAATACTTGTCCACATCTTAGCCTGCATTCCCTCAGCTTAAAATTATTGAGGATTAACTGAATCACAGGTTGCC